TAGTTATTCTTCATGTTTCTTTTGAGTCAGGGTCTCACTGTGTAGTTCAGGCTAGCTTTGAACTCACTTTGTAGCCTGGGCTGGCCTTGAACTTTCCATCCTCCTGCCTCAGCCTCCTGAGTGCTGGAATTACAGGCATGTGCCACCTTGGCTAGTTATTCTTGTGTATTGATATAAACGTTAATAGCAATTTAAATCTATTAAAGAACTTGGTATTTTTATTGAAATTATAATAAATTTGTAAATTAATTTGAGGAGGCAGTTAGATTACATAGGGAAAAAGGCAGGAGTGAGGTCAGAATTGTGAAGTTCTGTAGTGCGTAGTGAAGGTTTTAGAATAGGAAACTAGAAATGAGTTGTGAATGATGAGGAAAACCAGGAGATGGTTTTAAGAAGAATGGTTGAGGTCATTGTGCTGTTGAGAGGTATAAATAGATAATGAATTGTTGAAAACGTGAATGAGGGATACTATTCTTAGGCCCTTTTGGGGGTATGGATGGTCACATAGACATTGAAGAAGATGGAAGCCTTGTCTTTAAGATGTTACTGAGGGATACTATTCTTAGGCCCTTTTGGGGGTATGGATGGTCACATAGACATTGAAGAAGATGGAAGCCTTGTCTTTAAGATGTTACTGTCAAAAAGAAATATAAAACATGTACACTGTTTTTTTAAAATTTTATGAGGATGGAGACTAAGTTTGCTTTATTTGTTTCTGCATTTCTAACAGTATCTAGCACATGTAGTTAATTTTTAATAGTATTTGTTGACTGACTTACTGATAAATTACCAAGATGGTGTTTCATAAGTTTCTCTAGTGTATTTCCTCCACATTTATCCAAGGAGCTACACCAGAAATGAGCAATTTATTTACTCAAGTTTTGGAAAGACGTTTGTAAAGATTTAAGTTCTAATATTTTAATTTATATGAGCTGTTCAGGTTAATAATTATTGATGGCTGAGTGAATGATATTACCTATGGAGAAAGCATAGAGTGAAACTAAAACCTGATTGAAAATGCCACATGACCTATGGGGTTCCCTGTAGGGGAAAATGGCTTTCACTGGATGACACTGATGAAGGTTTAATAGACTAGACTAGTGATGGTGAACCTTTTAGAGTTTTCAGTGATAACAAACAGCCTGCTGCGGCACATGTGCCACGCGTTCGCCACCACTGGACTAGACCCGTGAGTTAACACTGCAAGCATTAATGACAGAGATGGTATAAAGAATGTTCTTGTTCTGGGAGAACAACATTATTCAGATTTTGCTTATGTAGATATGGGTTATTTATGTGAGGCAGGTGTTATATTTATTCATCTTTTTATTGTACTTTCACTGGTAGGCACTGTGGAGTAAAAATGTATACTCTTAGGGAACTTACAGTGTTTTTTCACATTTTTCTGTGTATTTTGAAATGATGTAATCTTAAATATTACATAGAGAATGTGGCAGAGCTTCATTTACCTGAGTTTATTTATATTTTAGGATATGTTGAGAATAACAAAGTATCTCTGTAGCTTCTGCTTTGTTTTGTTTCCTTTTAAAGCAAGAAATAATGAAGCAAAATGATGTTAATTTAGGTAAAATGTTCTTTTAATGGTCTACTAAATAAGTGGAAAGTTTTATAATTTATTTGTAAAGAAATGAAGATTCATTCTGTCAGTTTTATTTCTGTCACCTTGCTAAGGCCTAATAAGGGACTGAGTTCACAGAAGTCTGTCCTTGAACTTCAGAAGTCTGTGTCAGCAGTAATTTCTGACGCTAGCAGTACTTTTCAGTTGAGTGATGAGTCTATAGGGAGCAGAGATTCTATTAAAACACTGGACTTTGAAAAATACTTATTAGTTCATGTTCTCAGGAAATACTTTAAATCCTGACAGGCTTCTCTTTTGGATTTTGTAAGAAAAGAGATTGGTGTTTTCCTAACAGTAGGCCATTGCTTTTGATCTGACGATTTTTTTTTCACTCTTTTATTAGTGGCCCATTAAGCTAAGCTAGGGCCAAGACAATTATGCTGGTCTATCTCATTGTAACTGTTCATTCATTCATTTTTAGTACTAGGGGTTGAACTCAGGGCCTTTGCACTGAGCTAGATAGCTCCATCCCCAGCCTTTGAGTGTGTGTGTGTGTGTGTGTGTGTGTGTGTGTGTGTACTAGGGATTGAACCCAGGACTTAGCACTGAGCTGTCCTTCTTAGCCCTTTCTTATTATTTTATTTTTGAGACAGGGTCTTGTAAAGGATCTAAATTGCTCATGTTGGGCTTTAACTTGGTGTCCTCCTACTTCAGCCTTCCAGAGTGCTGGGATTACAGGCAAGTGTTCCTGAATGCCCTGAAAATCATACTAGTGCCTTTTACTTAAGCTGTTCACTGTCTACTTGTTTAGGGGCTAAGCTAAGACCCCAGTATATGTAGTAATGACATCCTTATCTATATACATTCCAGGAGTGTCCAGCCTGTGGCCTGCAGGTTGGGCATGCCTGTTTAAATTAAAAATATAGATGTTCTGTTATATACATTAACTATGTTATATGTTTTATATGTTACCCAGGACAATTCCGCTTCACTCAGTGCAACCAGGCAAGCCAGGCATGTTCAGCTTGGACAAACCACTTTCTCTTTAGTGTTTTCTAATTACTGATTTACTTGTCTATCTGACTTGTCTGTAGGGTTCTTGAGGGCAGGGACAAAGTTCAAAATTCTTCTGGCAGCCAGGTTATTTTAACCCTGTTGATGCTTGGTTTTAGATCTTGTTAATACTATACAATTTCGAGTTTGCCCTTCTAGAATGTAACCCCTTAAGAATATCAACTTAAAGCCAGGCATGGTGGCGCATGCCTGTAAACCTAGCACTCAGGAGGCTGAGGTAGGGAGGTCTCTGAGAGTTCAAAGCTAGCCTGTGCTATAAAGTGAATTCAAGGCCAGCCTGAACTGCAGAGTAAGACCCTGTCTCAAAAAAAGAAAAAAAAAAGCTATCAATTTAAGCCTGAGGTATATCTCTGTATAGTTGCATTTATATTTCAACTCCACCCCATTCTTTCCAGCACCAAGCACTTGACTGGTGAAATGTCTACTCAACTCTTGGCTTCTCAGCTGTTCCCTGCGAGCTATTTTGAATTGTTCTCCTTCTTACATGTGCACAGTTGAGGGGGTGACAGACTCCTCTGGGGCAGATCACACATAGACTTTCGGGCTCACTGACCACCCGGTTCACTCCTCTGTGGGCTGTATTGCCCTCAAGTCCTAGATCTGTGGTGGCTCAACTATGGCATGCCTGCTGCAGCAGGACACGAAGCCCTTTCTGTCAGCACATGAGCCAAATGCAAATATTTTCACCTTTCAATAAGAAGTTGCTTGTATCATTGAAACCTCTGTTACTGTTCTTCTTTTAAGACAAAAGATGGTAATGTGCGATTTGTTTTTCTAAATGAGAACTTCAGTATCCAGGTTTAGTTGCAGTGTTGGTGGTTTTCAGTAAGTGGATTTGGGGTACTTAGTTGCTGAAAGGTTCTCCATCGCAGTCTGAGATGCTGTGGCTTTGTCAGATCTCAGCTTCCGTCTCTTCAGTCCATTGAGACTTGTGCTGTCTGTTCCCGACTGGGAATTGGCACATACTCCTAAAAAGCTGTAGTGAATGTGCATCTTGCTTTGTTGAGCTTACTTCTTTCAGGTTTTGCGTATCCTGGTTTTGCTGCAGTGCCTTTTAGCAGTTCTTCTTTGCATTTCTGTCTTCTATATTGATTTTGATGAGAAAGTAAGTCTGATACAAGCTGTGTAGTCATATTTGACCTAAAGTCCATGTGCATGCATTTTAAAAAATTGTTTTTATTGGGGTCAGATTCACCTAACAGAATCAACTTTTTCAAAGTATATAATTTAATGTCATTTAGTATGTTCACAGTTTTGGATGTGAATAGATTTTTAATTTATGTAAATGGTAGTATACTATAGCTTGTTCTATCTCATTTTTACCTAACAGTATGTTCGAAGAGTTTTTGCTTATTATTTTATTACCTTTAATTATTGCATAGTATGCCTTTAATTAATCTATTTCTCTTGTCATAGACATTTATTTTTATAACTTCCCACTCTCTAGATTATGTTGCACTTAATATGAATTTATTCTTGATAACATTTTCCCTGAGCAAGTGAATTATGTAGAGTTTGTTTGTTTGTTTTTTTTTTTTTTTGGAAATGTGATTCCAGAAACTTTTAAATTGATTCATTCTGTGACTTGGAGGAATTGACTGGGCTTTTGGGAACTATTCTAGACCTTAATATTTGCCCCCAACCCAACGTCTATTTTAGCACCAGTGTACTTTCTTGAGCAAAATAAATAGCTCTTACCCACTGCATTTTGCTAAGGGTTGGAAGCACTCTTCACTTTACCTTTTGATATATATATAGTGTGTGTGCTGGAAGCTTTCTACAGTTCCTCTTAGAGCAATATTCTGCAATTCACTGGAAGTCTGTGGCTTTTTATAACGATTGTTTTAGTAATCGAACTCAAAATCTGGGTGTTGCGAACTACTTAACCACTTATTAGCTTTGTGATTTGGGGCAAGTTGCTTAACCTTTCAGAGCCTTGGTTCTAAATTCCTATGATGAAAGTAATAGAAGAGTATTTGTTGGATTAAGTTCAAAGAGAATAATAATGTAAATTGTGGCAAATGTTAAATACATAGAAATGATAGTTGTATTGGTTTTGGTGTAGGCTGTAGATAATATGCTATTTCCTTTGAGTACTGTTTCTGTGGAAATGGTTATATTGCTCAATTGGCACCCCACCATATGGTACATTGTGTTATTTTTAATGTGTTGTGTTCTTTTCCATAGAGGTCAGAGTTTCTCAGAATCTAGTTTAGTTTGTGTGTCTTGCAAAATAAATTATGAATGCATTTTGAATCCTTTTTTCTTTTTGTTTACTTTTCTCTCCCAGCTTTGAGAAATAGGAAGCATTTGTATTTAAATTGAAAACTGAACTTTTTCCTCCCAGATCACCTTGATGATGACAGAGACTTCTTCTGTGACTCTTGCTCCTTTTGAGGATACACTGAGTCGGGTGCTCTTCGGTTGGCAGAAGCAGTTTTCATGGTGTGAAAAGAAAAGTGAAACCAAACCAGCTTCCAGTGGCACTGGTTCATCGGTCTCAAAACCTACAGCTGATGCTTCAGAGAATGTGAAAAAGAAGCATACTAAGAAGACTGAATAAATTTATTTGATGAGCTCTAAGGCAAAATTTTCCTTTGTCCTATCAGATTGTGGTAATATTTCTATGTAAATGATGTAAAATAAGATTATATATAAGAAATAGTGACAAAAAGAAAGAAATTCTTTTTGTTTCAGAGAGACTACCATTTTCTTGATTGTAATTTAGAGTGTTGGTGTGTATCACGTGAATTTATTTTTCTGACATTAAAAGTTCTCTTACGACTATTATTACAAGCTTTGCAGTGCTGAGTATGGAACTCATGGGTACTCTGCCACTGAGGTACAGCCCTAGCCCTTAAAAAGTTTTTATTTTTAAAATTTTGAAGCAGGGTCTCATTACGTTGCCCTGGCTACTCTTAAACATGGAAACCTCCTGCTTCAGTCTCCTGAGTAGCTGGGGTTACCAATGTGCCCAGCTCTTATAATTATTTCAATAGTTTTATAATAAAAGAAGTAGACTTTTTTGGATGTAGAAAAAGTGTAGCTATTATGCAAAATTACAGAAGCCTAAAGCTTAAAAAGCCTAGGTATTTTCAAAGTTTTAAAAGATTTGAATCTATTTGAGCTTTATTCACTGGAATTAAGCTTTTATTTCATGTTACCATTGTACTTCCTAGGTATGGAAAACAGTTCCTGTTTAACTTTGAGCACTGACAGCAGTAAATATTTTCTAAAGCAGTTTGTATTAAAATGAAAATAAATTGCTAGTTACATTGTTATGTAAATGTAATTTTGCCCAGATTAAATGCAAAATACCTGAAATTTAATTTTATTTCTAGTAGTACTTTTCAGTGAGAACTGTATTAATACGAGTATTCACAGTATTAAGATCAGCCTCAATCTGAAGTCTGTTCATGCCCCTGGTTTTAAAAATTATTGTTTTTTTGTGTGTGGGCATACAATTTTTAGTAAGTTACTAACTCCATATTTTTATAAATTTTCAGTTTTGGAGGTTAGCTTTTTCTTTCTCTCTTTAATCTTTCTCTCCTTAAAACACATTTGTTCCAACTGCAGGAGAAACTGTTCCCCACATTTTACATGTTCTTTCTGACCTTAATTGGTCTGAATACATTGATGGCGATTATTTTCATATGTGTGTGTGTCTTAGTTACTGGGGATTGAACTCAGGACCTTCGCAACTGAGCTGCATCCCCAGCCCTTTTATAATTTTTTATTTTGAGACAGCATCTTACTAAGTTACTAGTTGCCCTGGCTGGGTTTGTACTTGTGATCTTCTTACTTCAGCCTCCCAGAGTCCTGGGATTAGAGTTTTACACCACCATGTGTGGCTTAGTGATAGTTATCTTAATGATTCAACAAAAAAGTATTATCTCCGTTTAAAATTCTCTTTCTCTGTCTCCTTTCTAATGGCTGTTTTTCAGTTTTCTGTATGAAAACCTTTGCCAACTTGTTTGTTGTGTTTCATGTCTTAATCTACACACATATTATTAATAGTGTGTAAATGCTTGCCGTTAATGAGAACTGTCTTTGCACATTTGCACATTAGTAATCAGACGACGCAGAAGAAACAGAAACAAGCATCGTATGGCCGTCTGTTTGGGTGAAGAGTAATGACATGAAATCTGGCTTCTTACTGGCAATGAAAAGGAAACACGAAAGGGTACTGAATGTTACATTTTCACCCTTTATTTTATTTCAAAGTACAGTTTTGACATTAAAACTTTGTGACATATTTTCTTAGACGAAGACCACCTACAACCTGTATCAGGTATTTTTGAATGGGTTAGAATTACTCAAATCATACTCAAATGGAAAGTTTTTTATTTTTAAAATTTTAACATATAAACACCAGCACGTATTACAACTTTACTTGCCTAAGTAAAAACATGGGAGGAAGGGCACTTGTAATAAACTTGGAATGCTAAGAAGTTGATATTTAATATTGTGACAGCTTTAAATTGAGTTCTGTATATGATATTCTTATTACTCTTCTAAGTTAACATGTTATTGACCAGTTTTAAAGTTTGAATTTAACTGTAGTTGAAATAGAGGAATCTTGTTTTATTCTTGTATTAAAGACATACTCATTAAATTAAGTTATTTAGCACCAATGGAGTATTACATTATTCTTGGCTTTTTTCCTTTATATTTTTCCTGAGGTAGAAGTTCATAATTCCACTGTTGATCTCACTGATATATTCAATGGTTTTAGTTTAAGTGGGACGTTAGTGTAAACTTCATTAATCCATGCATGTATGCTATAACTCTCCATTCATGATTCTTAGGGTCAGAACTAGACCTAGGCCTGAAACTTCCCACCCAGAATCTACTCAGGCTGCCTGTAAGGATCTGACATGGATTGTGAACCAAGTTGTTGGACTCCTTACCCAATTTGAAACATGACAGAGGCCTGTAGACCTGCCTTACACAGCCTAGGTAAATCATAGGTGGCGCTGAGAAGACCTGGTGGTCTCCTTTCAAAAAGATAGGAATTTGGCAAGAATATGGGCCCCCTCCGTGATTTCAGTCTTTCATAAAATGTGCCCAAATAAATACTCAAATTTGACTTAGCAGATTAGTCACTCTTCCTTGCTGAGTTAGTATCCAGTGAGGGCTGAGGGAGACCCAGGTACGTGAGGTGGATGGATTTCGGTGCTTACCTGTGGGCACAGACAAAAAAACTGGAGCGATGGGAGAAGAGGGGAGATCTTCATATGTGTATCTTTTGTCTATTCCTTTCAGCCCAGATACTTTTTCATGAAAATCTACTCAAATCACAAGTTGATGACAGTTGAGTGGAATGTTGGAATATGTGTTCAGGAATGCTTACACAAAGCCGTTTCCAGTGCGTGCCCCAGATGTAATTCACATGTGTGGTGATGTTCATTCATTTGCTTGTTCAACACATACTGAATACTGGTTATGGATCAGACATTGTCCTAGGCTCTGAAGATGCAGAAAACAAGAAAAGGCCTGTGTCTTGGAGTTTATATTCTAGTGGTGAAGAGACAAATAAGAAACAGATGTGCTCTTGTTGTGCTATTAAATGTTTTGAATTAATATTAAGTACGCAATAAGGATAGAAAATGAGGGGAGTGCGAGTACATTTTTGTTAAAATCAGTTGTTAGGCCTTTCTGTTAAAACTGCTTTTCAGCAGATGTGAAGGTTGTGAAACAGCAAGCTATAGATAAATAGTTGGCAAGTGCAAGTGTTATACTGTTCCTTATACATTTGATTTAGATCATATTTTTCCAAAAATTACTGAATTTATTTTTCTTATAAAGTTGTTTCACCATATCATTTTTAAAAGATATAATTCTTTAGTAGAATTTATTTTGAGTTTTTCTTTTCAGATAAAAATTTCATACAGCATACAGGTTATAAGTGTGTATACATTGGGTGTTGACAAATGCAGCTATACAATCTAAATTTCTAGCCAGATATAACATTGTTAGCACCCCAAGAAGTTTCTGTCCAGTTATACCCTTCCTTGTTGAACATAACGTAAACAAAATCATGCACTATGTTCTTTATTTGCATAGGCTTCTTTTTAACTCAGCATAATGTTTTTGGAATTTTTCTATTTTGTTGCATTTATTAGTAGTTCATTCCTTTTTATTAGCTTAATAATGAATATACCACAGCATGTTAGGCTGTTTCTGACTTGGAGTGTTTCAAATAAATTATCATGAGTGTTTGAAGTCTTGCTAAACAAGTTCTTACTATGGACCAACACCTAGGAGGTGGTGTCTCGTTTTTTAAAAACTGGTAGACCTTTTTTCCAAACTGGTTGTACCATTTTATACTTCACAACAATGTATGAGCATTCTAGTTCTACATGCTTACCCAAGGATTCATGTGGTCAAACATTGTAATTTAATCCCTTTCCAGTGGATGCTTTGTGGTTTTTATGGTTTTAATTTTCACTTCCCTGATGGTTAATGGAGAGCACTTTTTTGTATGCTTTTTAGCTAATTGGATATCTTCTCTGTGAATTATCTGTTCAGATATTTTGCTAATTTTTATTAGATTTGACTTTTCATTAACTTAAAGACGTTCTTTATGTATCTTGAATGTTAATCTTTTGATAAATATTTTGTATGCATGGTCTTTCTGATTTGTGTTTTAACCTATTTATCTAATGGTGTCTGTTAGTTAGCAGAGATTTTTAATGAAGAAGTCTAATTTTTTAATATTTTCTTTAATTGTTATTGCTTTCTCTGTTTTAAGAAACTTTTGAGCCAGTTGTGACAGTACATGTCTGTAATCCGAGGGCTCTGGGAGGCTGAGGCATCAGGATTGCAAGTGTAAGCCTCAAAATAAAAATAAAAATCATTTAAAAGGGCTGGGGATGTAGCTTAGTGTGAAGGCTCTGGGTTAAATCCATTCACTCTGGAGTGGGGGATTTTTGCCTAGCCCTCATGTCATGAAGGTATGTGCCAGTCTGAGTAATCCCAAATAAAGGAATGCCTACATGAATATATAAAAGAGAAGCACTTTGTGTTACTATGTAAAGTAATAATTCTATTGCTCAGAAAGTCACTCAGCCCAGCTTAGCTGTTCTTGAAAAATCATTGCATACTTTATATAAGTGGTCACATTTTCTGTGCCTGTTCCGTAGGGTACCTCAGGGAACCTAGGACTTTTTATTGAAGCACTTTCTGTGGGCAGGCTTGACCTTGATTTATCACATCCCGATGTTTAGAAGAGGTGGAAAAGATGTGATAATAACAAACGTTTTTAAATGAAGGAAAAAAAAATCATGAGCTTAGTGTAAGTATGGGGTTAAAACAAAGTTTAAATCGAAATGCATATTTGTGATGACTAAATGTGGATGAATGATTTAGTATATAAACCAGCACTCCCTAGATTAATGTACATGGAAGACTGTCAGGTGACCTATGATAGTACAGTTACTTGGCACGTACAACTGAAGATGAGAACTACTTTTTAATGTCTGCACTTAACAGTGCATCGAGATTTAAGTAGTATGAAGAAAGAATTGAGGAATTTATATGGTGGGAGTATTATAAACATACAGTGGTTTGGTTGAGGGAAGAGAGACAAATTTAGTAACTTAAGGTATTCTTTAACCCTTGTGGAATTGTATTAATAAAAAGAAAAAAAGATGATATTATTTGGATTTTAATAAATACTGTGTAATCATGCAGAGCTTGACTTAAAATTCAGTCTAATCTCAAATAGACTGTAGACTGAACCCTTGAAAATAATATGAAATAAAAGGAATCTGCTACAGTGACTGATATACAGCATTGTTACAATTGATACCCTAATGGGCTGTGAAAGGAAGTTTATGGCATCCTGATTAAATTTGCAGTGGATATTAGGTGTTACAAATGCCTGTAATAACAAGAAAAATTCAAAGGGCTAATACCATAGTTTGAATATAGCTTAAGTAAAATTATTTATAAAACAATATTTCTGAGAGGAAGGTCTGGTTAATGTATGGCTGAAGGAATTGCTAATAGCTAAAGCTGGAACATTTTTAAGTTACAAAAGAAAGAAAATACTAGATTGTAGATAAAATGTTCTTGAGCACATATCACAGTCACTGAACACATACTGATTGAACGAATGAATGAGAAAAGGTATATGCAAAGTTCCAAATTTATGTAGTCAGTTGACTCATGTGTTATGTCAGCATACCCCTATCAATGTAGTTTTTTGGAAACTTTTTGAATACTTTCTGGTATTAAAAGATATTCTGAACTCCACACTTGTGTATTTCCTGCCTCATCCTAGAATCAGTCATTTTTCCAAAGAGCCTTTTATTTTCAAATAAGACCTAC